CCCCATGCCTCCTCGCTCCCGCATATGGCGCAAACCATGCGCGGGAGCGAGAGGTCCTTCACGCGGCACTTCACCGCCCGGGCCAGGACATGGCGCTGCTGGCTCCATGCAATGTCACCAGCGTATGGTGCGCCGTGTCCACAGGCTCCAGACAGTTATGACAACCTGTGATGAGCTTCCTCCCTATCTGGCGTAGATACTTCCCGAAACACACGTGTCTCGTCAGCACCTGCACCAGATGGAAGGTGATTCCCCGTCCCCTCCTGTCCGCTACTTCGGGCAGACAGGGGCGGACGGCTTCGGCCGTTCGGAGCCCAGGTCCCCGGGGGTCGGCCAATATGACCGACCACCGTTCCAATACCCGGGCTCTGGCCTGTGACTTCAGGGCCGCCAGGCCCCTGACCGTTAGTCCCTCCCCTCCCTCGTGGAGCTCCTTGACTCTCCAGTAGAGGATGTACGAGGACGGTCCGATAAGTACTTAGCCTCACCGCCCGATGGCGCCACTATCGCAAGAGAAATTTACTATCGTGTAATACATTCTCGTAGACGGCTACTGTCGAAATTTCAGCCGAATCGAACTCGTAGTTTTGTTTTGACCGCGTGTGGAAGCGGGCGTGTCCGCGGATTTTAGAAAAATGGAAAAAGAGCAATATCGGTCGGTGATTCGATTCTTGTTTTTGGAAGGGAAATCGCGCAGCGAAATTAAAGAGCGCTTGGATGCTGTGTACGGTGACTCTTCTCCTTCGATGGCGACCGTCAAAAATTGGTTTAACGAGTTTCAACGTGGTCGCACGTCGGTTTTTGATGAGCCACGTCCAGGTGCCCCGAAAACGGCTACCACGGAGGATAACATGACAAAAATCCACGATCTCGTATTGGCAGACCGCCGATTGAAGGTGCGCGAGATAGCTGAGACAGTAGGCATCTCAAAAGACCGCGTGGGTCATATCCTGCATGAAATTTTGGGCATGAGAAAGCTGTCGGCGCAATGGGTGCCGCGTTTTCTCACTCCGGACAACAAGCGCAACCGTGAGACCACTTCAGAGCAGTGTTTGACGCTGTTTAAGCGCAATCCGAAGGAGTTTCTGTGTCGTATCGTGGCCGTCGACGAAACATGGATCCACTAGTACACACCAGAGACCAAGGAACAGTCGAAACAGTGGACTTCACCCGGCGAACGTGCTCCGAAGAAGGCGAAGACTGTCCTATCGGCCGGAAAGGTGATGGCCACCGTTTTCTGGGATTCACAAGGTGTGATCTACATCGACTACCAGGAGAAGGGCAAAACGGTCACAGGGCTGTACTATGCCGAATTATTGGGCCGATTCGACGCCGAATTGCAGAAAAAACGGCCCCATTTGGCGAAGAAAAAAGTGCTCTTCCACCATGATAACGCACCGGCTCACACCTCCGCCCTCGCCACGGTCAAATTGGTCGAATTGGGCTACGAACTGCTGCCCCATCCACCGTATTCTCCAGATTTGGCCCCGTGCGACTTCTTTTTGTTTCCAAACTTGAAAAAGTCACTCGCCGGGCAGAAGTTTGAGTCGAATGAGGAGGTCATCGCCGCCACGGAGGCCTACTTTGCAGACCTCGAGAAAACGTATTTTTCAGACGGGTTAAAGAAGTTGGAGCATCGCTGGGTCAAGTGTATCGAGCTAAAAGGAGACTATGTTGAGAAATAAATCGCCACTTTTCTAAAATTTTCGTCTTTCTTTTGTAGGCTAAGTACTTATCGGACCACCCTCGTACCTCTCTTGAGCCAGGAGCTCCACGAGAGAGCCGGCTAGGGTGTCGCCGCCATGTACGACACGGTGCCGTACCCCCGAATCGCCCTCACTACCACGGCTCAACAGACATTTGCTGCTGCGGCTGGCTAGGAGCTGGGGCGCCTATATGGGTGCCCCATAGAGGGCGATCGAGAGCACGATATCAACATACAAGCGACGGGCCCTCCATCTTGAGTCCCCCTGAGTCCTCATCAGGTTGACCAAGGTCAGACCTATTTTGCGGATCCGGGGGGCCAGATGCCTGAAGTGCGGCCCAAAGTCCCAACGGCCGTCCAATGTCAGGCCGAGATATTTAATCGTCGGCCCGACGTGAACGGGGACTCCATCCACTTCAGTGGCTTCAGTGATTTCAGTGGCGCTCCACGGTTGCCGTCGTGGAAAAAGACGGCATCCGTCTTCTGGGGCGCCACCTTCAGTCTCAGGCCCTTGATGGCGCCCACTATGTGTATGTCTTTTTTTTGGTCACGCAGGGGAAAGCTGTCATGGATACCCCCGCCCCTTTGGAGAGAGCGGGGTTATGTCCGACTCCTAACGACTAAAACCCCTGCGGAGTGCCTACCGCTCGGACCGAAGTGGAGGGAGTCAGAGGAGCTACGCCTGTATTCCTTCCCCGACACCCCGGCCCCCCGGGCTCTCATGGAGCCCCACGCCCAAGTGCCTCGCCTTTCTCTTTTGGGAGTTACGGGCGCTGCGCCCTGGCTGGTTGCCCGTCCGGGTTGGCCTTCCGGTCTAAATTAAGGAGGAGGGGACACCCGCCCCTCTTCCTCCTCGCCCTGCCTTCCTCCTTCCCTACTGGGTGGGTAATGGGTGGCAGGAGGAGTGCGGCCTGGCCTCAACCAAGCCCCACTCCCCTTCTTTCTGTCCTCACCGACGCGCTGTGCAGGTGAGAGAGCCTATCCCTCCTCACCCACCCCCACTACGTCTTGAAAGCGGTCCCGAAGCGGCCGAAGAGGCGGCCTCCAGCTCGCCGGAGGCCTCTCCTCCTCGTCCGGCTCCACCTCGGGCTCGCTCCCCGCCCCTGGGGAGCGCCGCCTCCTCCGTCGCTCCCTGCGACGGGATGGGCGGCGCTCCCACTCGGCGGCCTCCTTGCGGGACATGACATCTCGACAAAAGGAGGCCGCCGCTCCCCATACCTCCTCTATCCCGCACATTGCTCTTAGCAAGTGCGGGAGCGAGAGGGCCTCCCCCTGGCACCCCACCTCCCGGGCGAGGACACGGCGCTGCTCTTCTCACGCCTGGCAATCAGCTAGGGTGTCTGGCTGCATCGTGTCTTGTCGCGTCGGGCAGTGACATCCTGCAGTGGGCTTCCTTCCAATCCGATGCAGGTATCGACCGAAGCATCCATGCCGGAAGCATCCAACCCGGTCAGCACCTGCACCATATGGAAGGTGAGCTCGCGTCCCCGCCTGCCCGCATTTCCGGCAGGCAGGGGCAGACGGCCTCGGCCGTTCGAGGCCCAAACGTATGTGTGTGTCTATATATATTATATATGTAGAGAACAAAATAACACAAAACTTTTCAGTACTTTTTTAAGTGTTATTAATTACTTATCAATTATTATTTATTATATTTTGAAATTTTTATATACGATATCATTCAATAAAATGCACGCATAAATTTGGAAAATAGATCGAGCACCGATTAACCGGGCACTTTACTGTATACATTTGTAAACATAAATAAATAAATACACACACATATATATTCGGCCTGTTTTCGATATTCATACTCTTTTGATACTTTCCGATATCTTTTTCCCACTATTTCATATCTATTACCATCTATGCTTGTTTCGAGTTACAGTTTCATATTCCGGCTACGATATTCCTAAGAGAGCGTTAGTGCTCAAGGAGATTTCTCTCATACACTAAATCCCGTAAAGGTCATTCTACAATACATGTAGTATGTTATAAGCCGTAAGAACTGACCAATTATAGCCAATTATTTTTGTAATAATCGACTATGATTCGCCAATTCTTACGGCTTACAGCTTACTGTAGGTCAAGTTTCACAATGACATATGTGTTCGAGACTTTATTACTGCTGAAGCGATCTGGTTCTTCTGACTATATCGGGTCGTCTCCCTTTTCCTTTAGCTCCTTTTCCCGGTCTGAGTGCTTCGCATTAATCGGTGTGTTCGTAAGTGGCGCCGTCTCAAAACCGCCACATTACAACACGTATTGTAGATCAAGCCTTAAAGCCTTAAAGCCTTAAGGCCTGGTCTACAATACGTGTCCTAAGTTGGCGAATCACAGTCGGTCATTACAAAAATAATCGGCTATAATTGGTTAGTTCTTACGGCTTACAACTTACGACACGTATTGTAGAATGACTTTAAGGCCCATCTACAATGGCCGCAAGAATAAGGTTGTAAGCAGTAAGAAATGGACCAACCATAATTCTTATAATTATTATAATAATTATTATAATAATTATTCTTATAATAATCGATTGTGGTTGGTCTATTTCTTAAGGCTCGTCTACAATAGCTGTAAGAGTAAAGGCTCGTCTACATTAGCTGTAAGAGTAAAGCTAAGACTCCATGCATGCGGTGAGCTCCGGCAAACGGTTGCGGTGACCAATCAGGAGACAGACGCATGCCGGAGCTTGCCGCAACCGGACTTGCGCCTCCTTCCTGATTGGTCACCGCAGCATTTGCCGCAGCTCACCGCATGCATGGAGTCTTAGCTTAAGGCTGTAAGGTTGCAAGACACGAAATGAAATATTTTCATTCGCTGATAGTTTAAGGCTCGTCTACATTAGCTGTAAGAATAAGGCTGTAAGGCTGTAACGTAAGCTGTCAGCGAATGAAAATATTTCATTTCGTGTCTTGCAACCTTACAGCCTAAAGCTAAGACTCCATGCATGCGGTGAGCTGCGGCAAATGCTGCGATGACCAATCAGGAGGGAGGCGCAAGTCCGGTTGCGGCAAGCTCCGGCATGCGTCTGTCTCCTGATTGGTCACCGCAGCCGTTTGTCGGAGCTCACCGCATGCATGGAGTCTTAGCTTTACTCTTACTACTACTGTAGACGAGCCTTTACAGTATCTCGTCGATGACCTTACTGAACACGCAACGCTGTCTTCTCGAGAAGAACCAGTCGATAAACTAGAACCCTGCTGGAGTACGACACGTCAACTATCGCCGCGCACTCGCGACTTTCTCATCTCGGACCGCATGTTCGATGACTTGACGAGATATCGATTCGGCGTTCCCGGCGCAGCCGTCGCGGCGACAGACTCGCTCGCGCACTTTTGACGTGTTCACGCATCTTTTTCACGTCAAAACAGTTATGCGAGCACTTTCGCGTAGCGTACGTGCTGTCGTGTACAATCGTGCGTATAACTCGCACGCCGGCTAACAGTTGCGCGAATATTACCGACAATCACGTCGCGACTGACTTGGCAAAGCGTTGCGCGAGAATCGATATGCGTGAAGGTGGAGGACGACGGCAACCCGTTGACAACAAATCAACGGGCTAAACAATGGATCAATACCGATACCTCGCGACGAAGGGCAACTCGTAGGAAACGGTAATGAATCACCGTCTATCGCGAGATCCCTTAGTCTGTTATTCACGGCTTTTGTGACCAGCGTGAGCTATACCAAAAAGGCTCCTGAGAAAACACCGCGACGTCGGCTCACCTCTCTCGTGTGACGCACGTACGTATATTTGACCCTTGATTCTTAGCCCTAAACGCGACGAAACCGAGCCCCGTCCTGCGTCTGCGATGTGACTCGGAGAGTAGAATGTGAATTGTTTCGTGTTTTATAACAACAAACTATCCTTCCATGTTGGCAAGTCCGCCGGCGAAATTTCTAATGTGATTCCAAGACGGCATTTATAGGTCTCGACGCGACCTTCTGCCCCATTTTGGAAAGTGCAAACGAAGGAAACGTAGAAATTAGTAAACATTTCGAGAAACCTCAACCTTGACATTACGCGCGTGTTGTTTTGATTTTTTATCACAGTGACCTTACACGCATATTACCTGGAAGTCGCGTTTGAAACTATTAACCGGCCGGGAAGGAAATGATTTTATGTATGTGTATACGTGTGTAATTTAATCGACAAAATATTCCTCGTACAACTGACGATTATCGTCGACTTCGGGTAGAAGATAATTTCGCGCGTTTATGTCTAGTTCATTCTACGCGAGATCACAGTCTTTCAGTCACGATGACTAAACGTCTGAAGATTTACACGGCACGTTTCATTGTCTCGATTATAGCGTTATTCGCAAGAAAGTAAAGAATCATCGAGATATTGCAACTGCATTCGCGAATCGCTTACAATTTACCGAATCGATCCACGTCGGAACGTTAAAATTTTTGTGAGACATATGGACTGAGGATTGCAGATTGGAAATTGACCATTGGGATAAAACGAGCTAAGATCGAAGTTAATTGAGTTTTATCTTCGAATTTTATTATTTGTGAATTTTGATCTAATTTTTATTAAATTATATTAAATATAAGATTTTATTCGAATTTTATTATTTGAATTTTGGCCTAATCTCTAATCTGTGGTCTCTTCAATTTTCAATACTCGGGATAGTTTTCATTAAAGTCCGATTAACCTTTTCAGGAATGAATTTATTCAAGTCAGACCAGCGTGAGCCATACTAAAAGCTCCTGAGAAAACACCGCGACGAATTTAATTTAATTTTTAATGACATAAATATGTCATTAAACGATTGCATGACGAGAATCTCTTTCTTGTGCGAAGTTTTAGCAAATTTTTGCTCATAGTAATGTTCGTTATATCTTTGTCGACAATATTTGTATCAATAAGAAAAGAAATGTCAAACGCACACATACACATTTTATGCGCGCGTGCGCGCGCGTGTCGGTCAATCTGAAAAGATTGAATTAATCGATGATTAAACTCTAGAGAATTGCCAGCATTTATTTCTAGTTATATAATTTTTTATCCAACAATAATAAAAAAACTAATATATGTATCAAATTAGAACAAATAATACTCATGTGTAGGTTGCCTATAAGAGAGAAAGAGAGAGAGGGAGGGAGGAAGGGAGAGATACAGCTTTAAATATATTAGAAGTGTGATTTAGTTGAGGATTTTGCAAGAGATGGCACTAATGTCAATTTTGTCGAAGACATTCAAAGCATCATTCCAATCTAATCAAAGAACTATTGTTTCTTAATGCTAATTAATATTAATTCATGATATTTAGTCATTTACTAACGATAGACACAGTAAAAATCGTGTTAATATCATTTTAAAAATAGAACTTCCTAAAGAGCATTTCCGACATGCGTTGCTTTTTTTTTTAATCAGAAGAATAGGGCGACTAAAAGTCATAGAATTTCTAATAGAAACTTATGGTGATGTTACTCCATCAGTTAAGACACATCAATATTTGTTTAGACGATTCAAAAGTGGTGATTTCAATGTTAACGACAAAGATCGCTCGCAACAACCAAAAAAGCTTGAAAATGCAGATTCGCAAGCATTATTGGACCAAAATTCAGCACAATTCACTTCAGAACTTGCCGGAGCATTAAATGTTGATCGTATAACAGTTACTAAAATAATACTTTACATGATATGGAGAAGATTCACACAGAAGGAAAATAGATTCCACGTCAATTATCGGAAATGCCATTGCGAACCGGTTGAACATTTGTATTTTGTTGATCGCCAGACAAAAACTGAAGAATCTTTTGTATCAAATTGTTGCTAGAGATGAAAAATGAATCTATTTCGATAATCTCAAACGGAAAAAATTATGGGTTGATCCAGGCCAACCAGCAACATCTACTTCGAGGCACAATATTCATGGTTTAAAGGTATTGCTGTGTATTTGATAGGATCAAGAACGTGTTGTGTATGAACCGTTAAATCTGAATGAAACTATCACCGCTGATCGTTATCTACAACAATTATATAAATCGAAGCGAGCATTGGATCAAAAACGATTAATTGCGAGTAAACGATGCAAAGTGATTTTTCTTCACGACAATGCTCGATTTCATGTTACATTATCAGTGAAGTAAATGCTACTAGAGCTGAAATGAGAAGTCTTACCGCACCCTGCATATTCTCCAGACATTACTCCATCCGATTATCACTTGTTTCGGTCGATGCAACATGCTCTAGAGGATACACACTTTCATAACTTGGAATAAGTGCGAAAATTTGTTGAAAATTAGATCAACTCCAGAGGAGAATCTTTTTATCGTCACGGAATCCATCTCTTGGTAGAAAAATGGGAAAAAGTTGTAGAAAACGAAGGAAAATATTTTGATTGAGGTATTCGTTCATTATCTTGTTTAAATACATCAGTTTCTGGGAAAAAAAAACTTCACAACTAAATCACACTCCTAATAATTTATAAAGAAGCAATGTGAATTTTTCTTACACATCTTAATAATTTTAAAGCGTTTTATCTCCCATGTTGGCAATCTTACCGACCATATTATGATGACTTTCTCCAAACAACGCTTAATCTAATCGACAGTTAAGTGATAAAATTGTCAACAGTTTCTAATTACGTAACTTGCCGTTTAACAATAACCAAAAAGATCAATTCTATATTCTGTTAATAGAATACAACAATTAACATTCGATTGATCAATCTCAAATATAAGTTACGAAGAAAGAATGCAAGAAGTCTCTGACTCATTTTTCTAACAACAAACTATTCTTCACTTTCCACGTTGGCAAGTCGGCCGAATTTCAGTCATTTATACCATTACCTTAATCAGAATCCAAAGAAAAGCACCCGTAATCGTCAGTTAGCGGGCAGAATTATCAGTCAGAATTCGAAACGAGGTGAAAGTCATCTTCAGCGTCCGACACGAGTTTAATTATATGACCAATGAAAAAACGCATCTTTTTCTGCTGTCCGACAGACGGGAGAGCCAGATACACCCAGAACGTTGACATGGAGAAGCAGCTGGACAATCAGCAGAAGAGCTGGAAGAAGAAAGGCATGAGGTCGAGCGCGAGCGCCGCCGAGGTGGCGACGCAATGTGTGCAGGTGGTGGTGCGATGCAGGCCGATGGACGAGCGGGAGACCGGGCGCGGCTACAGCCGGGTGGTCGACGTGATCCCGTCCAGAGGTGTGGTCGAGGTGCGGCATCCGCGCGATGACCCGTCCAGCGAGAACGTCAAGGTATTCACCTTCGATGCGGTCTACGATTGGCACTCAAGCCAACAGGAGCTGTACGAGGAGACGGTCCGGCCGCTGGTGTCCTCGATACTCGACGGCTTTAACGGCACTATCTTCGCATACGGGCAAACCGGCACCGGCAAGACCTACACGATGGAGGGCTCGAAGACGGACCACGAGAAGCGCGGCGTCATACCGCGCTCCTTCGAGCACATTTTCAATCACATCGGCAGGACGGAGAACATGCAGTACCTGGTGAGAGCCAGTTACCTGGAGATTTACCAAGAAGAAATACGCGACCTACTGCACCCGGATCAGAGCTTGCGCTTCGAGCTGAAGGAAAAGCCGGACATCGGGGTGTTCGTGAAGGACTTGTCGAGCGCGGTATGCAAGAGCGCGGCGGAGATACAGCAGCTGATGAACGTCGGTAACCAGAACCGGACGATCGGTGCGACGAACATGAACGAGCATAGCTCGCGCTCGCACGCAATCTTCATGATCACCATCGAGATGGGCGGGATCGGCGACTCCGGCGGCATCCGAGTAGGCCGCTTGAACCTGGTAGACCTCGCGGGTAGCGAAAGACAGAGCAAGACCGGCGCCTCGGGGGAGAGGTTAAAGGAGGCGAGCAAGATCAATCTGAGCCTGTCGGCATTGGGCAACGTCATCTCGGCCTTAGTGGACGGCAAAACTACGCATGTGCCATACCGGGACTCCAAGCTGACGAGACTGCTGCAGGATTCCCTGGGTGGTAACTCCAAGACAATTATGGTAGCGAATATCGGACCGGCCAGCTACAATTACGACGAGACTCTGACAACCCTGCGCTACGCGAACCGCGCCAAGAACATCAAGAACAAGCCGAGAATAAACGAGGACCCGAAGGATGCTCTGCTACGGCAGTATCAGGAGGAAATCGGTCGGCTGAAAGAGAAACTCGCACAGAGGGGCGTGGTGCAGAAGAAGAGGAAAAGGTCGAAAAGGAAAAAGGAGGACGACGCGCTCGACTCGGAGTCCGAGGCGGACGACAGTCGGGGTGAGGACAACAATAAAGCGGCCGAGACCGACAAGAAGCTCATAGCGGAGCAGCTGAGGGCTGAGAAGCAGGAAACCGAGAACCTCGTCCAGCGAATCAAGGACCTGGAGAGCAAGATGCTCTGCGGCGGCAAGAACATAATCGACCACACGAACGAGCAGCAACGGGCGCTCGAGCAGAAAGCAGCCGAGATCGCGGAGCGCAAGAGGCGTGAGGTTGAGATGCAGCAGAAGCTAGAGGACGAGGAGCTGACAATGGTGGGCGTGAGAGAAACCTACACGACGTTGCAGCAAGAGGTGGACGTGAAGTCCAGGAAGTTGCGCAAGTGCTTCACCAAGTTGCAGGCGCTGAAGCAAGAGCTAGAGGACGTCACTAGCGACTACAACCGTGACAGGCGCGACTTGGAGCAGGAGCAACACGAGTTGATGAAGGAGCTTAAGCTCAAGTACCTCATCATCGAGAATTTCATCCCGGAGGAGGAGAAGACCAAGATCCTGACCAGAATCCACCTGGACGAGGAGGAGGACTGCTGGGTGGTGAAGGACCCGGAGCCATCCAATATCGACATAATCAAACGCCCGACGTCTATGCCGGGAACGCGCAGACCAGTCTCGGAGTACGCGCGGATCGCCCTCGCGATGGGACGAGGCTGCCGTTACGCCGGTGAGAACATCCTCAACCTGGACCTTGACATGCCGACACGCACCACCCTGGACTACCAAGGCCCGGCAATCGCGCCCACGATCCAAGCCGTACTGGAGGAAGCGCTGCGCGACGAGGGCGACATCGACGTGGACGCGTCCAGCACGAGGCTGCGAGCGAAGCCGCGGCTGCAGTCCGCGCGAGTTAGGCCGAAGAGCGTCAGCAAAGTGCAGCAGATCCCGGCGCCGGTTTACCCCAAGACGAGAGGCCTCGTACCGAAGTAAACGATCCGAGAGTCAAACCCCGACTACGCTTCTCTTTTCTTCATTCACGAAAGGGGATATGTGTACATATTGTATGAACGGCGTGTCTCTAGTGCTTTATTTAATTGTTCGCGAGTTCGCCAACTCGCGCGTTGCCAACATGTCGGGACAAAAGAGAGAACGGACACGCGTCTTTATAATTCTCTAGTCATTGTGCAATGTGTAAACATACGATTATCGCTACCTGTCGGGCATGTAATTGTTGTGATAATACAACATCAAATAGATACCATGCTTTTTTTCCAGCTTCTCCTGCTTGCTGCGTCGCGTACGGAAGTCGTCGCTTCACCCTCTCGCTCTCGTCGCCTTTTAACTTCGACTTCATCGCACTTCGCTGACGTTTATTGTCGGTGTTGACAATCGTTGTCGCGTGTATCCCTCGGGAGGACTCGAGATTCTTTCGGACTCTTGCGTTACACGAAGATACAACGAGGACGATTGATCGATGCTGTCAGTGTTATTTTTGTCTATATTTATTGCAAAATTACATTGGAATATCATGCGTACCGACGACGAATATCTATTTAATGTCGACAGTGAGATGTTCATTCTAGCAATAATCTGAAATGTCTTTTTCTCTCGATTATGGGTGAATATGGCGACCTTCTCCTCGTTTCCGCTCGCTAAATATCGCTGAAATCCCTTTACAACGTATATACGTTGTATACGTAACGTTGATCGTTTTATCATGTTAAATATATTATAAATGATTAAGTATCATACATCTTGTATCAATGTGGCAAATGATATAACACATACCTCCGCGACGGTCGTCTCATTTTAATTCTACTTACTTTCGTCTAGTCGAGAGATCACCCGGTGTGTACGTAACAACAGCACACCCACGCATAGACACACGCACACACACTTCGTTCACTACGAAGCATATGCAACTCGTTCGGGAACGACTTACATTCGGCTCCGTGCACTCGACTTATGCGACTTTCACTGTACACACCTGCGAGCGCGCATGCGCGCGTGCATATACATACATACACACACAACGTACGCATAGCGGGCGCGGTGAAAAAACATGTGCAAAAACGCGAGTGCAACTTTCGGACGAGAGGCGAACGTGTGGAAAAAAGTTCTCATAATATTCTCTCATAATGTTGCGTATTCAATCTCGCACGCACGACTGTCCTATCACCAAGGCGAGATTCTGCCGTTGATGGAAATACGACAATTGTCTTATTCTCGTCGCATTTCAGAGTGAGCGTGAAAATGAGAGAGAAAGGAAGAACACACACACACACACCACACCACACACACACACACACACACACACACACACACACACACACACACACACACACACATATGCATACACATGGGAGAGGAAATATATAATTAAATATGTATATTATATAATTATATATTATATAATTATGTAATGTACATATTTAAGTATAATACATTTTTAGATGTATATACATATCACATTCACATATATTTATATATTACCGAAATATATATAAATATATATGCATATAATACGTCTGATATAAATTTATGCGTAGAGAAAGTCCGAGATACGCAGGATGCGCGGGCGATGCAGGATCATCTAAGTACAATGTCACAATTGCAGTCGCATACGGACAGAGAAATGAGACGGTAGGATAGGTGAACCCCTGCGAAGCACAAGAATCAGCCTGCTCCTCTTCGGAGAAACGCTCGGAAAGCTCGCATGGACGACGCTCGGAAATTCGCACGGGCACTCGCACAGCCAGGAATCAAACGAGACGTCGGCGTCCGGGGAGCTTACACGGAGATCGACACGTGTCAGCAGTGTGTGTCGCGAATGTTCACGGGGCGTCGAGTGCGATCAAGTCCGGAAGGAAACGACGGTGCTCTTAACAGTAATTCAATAGAACCGCTGCTGATGCATATAGCTGTCGTACTGCTGCGGCTGCAGCGATGGGACATAACCGGACGAATGCGCGGCCGGTGGCGCTGTATAAGAACCGTAATTTTGCTGAGGATATTGGCCAGACGATAACGACGATGGTCCGCCATATTGGCCCTGACCCGGCATGTTGCCATAACCTTGGTAATTGTAACTATTGTCCATATACCCTGAGTTGCTGGGGAATATCTGCGTTTGCTGGTAGTTCGAAAATTGCTGATTCGCCGCAGGGGGGTAGGTCATCGGGGCCTGCTGACCTTGGGGCCGCGCCGGCTGATTGCTCGGTACAAAAGTCTGATTGTAGAAGCTCGTCATACCAGCCGACGACGCCTGATCGACGGAGCTCGACGCCAGCGGCTTCATCTTGTCATTGCTGAGGCTCGTGTGCGACTTCGGCACGTATTTGCTGGGCAGCTCGCCCATGATGTTCGCGATCAAGCGCTTGGTCTCGTTGAGTATCGCGTTCGGATCGTTCGTTCTCGCGTCGTCCTTCTGCCGAGCTGTCGGGGAGCGCGACTTGGAGCGCGAGCGGGAGCGTGAACGGGAACGCGAGCGGGACCACGACGTTGGCGATTTGGAGAAGGTTCGCGACTTCTTGGCCTTCTCGTTTTCGCTCACGTTCTTATCCGCCGCCTTGTAGATATCCTCGAACGTGTAATCATCGTCGTCATCGGACAGATCGATCTTTGTCTTGATCTTATCATCATCTTTCTTCTTGTCCTGTTGTTCATCCTCATCGTTAGCGAACATATCCAACTTCGGCTTCCACTTGTCTTCTTCATCACTCGGATTCTGGTTGCTCTTGCGAGTGGAAAACGGGGAGATACTTTTCCTGCTCTTACCAACGACACCGTCGATCTCTGGAGTCGGTGATTTCATGCTACTCGCTAACGTCGTCGACGAGATGGTCGTACTGAGGTTAACAAAAGCTCTCAGCTTTTCCACTCTGCTCGGGTCGCTCGCCTCGAGTTTCTTCAGGAAGCTGATGAGGTTATGCTGCTCCGGCGTGCTGAGCTCTTTGAAGTTCTGCAGCATCGACTTGAGATCCGTGTCCGACAGGTTTTCCACTTTCGAGGCTTGCCGTTCGCTCGACTCGATGATTGTCTTGATGGACTCCGCGGCTCGAGGAACCACATTGCTGCACGTCGCCAAACCTTTCACAAAGTCCGCAGTGGTGACGGGCTTGTCAGAGAGCTTCGACGCTTCTGCCATGCCAACCACGGCGTTAATGAGAGTCTCCAGGTCCTCTTGAGAGACATTTGATTTACCTTGCGCAACCAAAGCCGCCGCGATTTCCTGGGCAATCGCAACTTTGTCGACCGTACCGACACCTGGCACGCTCACCGGTTCGGACTTAATCGCGGGTGCTACAATCTCCACCGGTCTCGAATAAGCGGTTCTACCGATGTAACTTGCAGCTGGCTTCGATACTTCCAAAAGCTCCCGCTCCTTCTTCTTCTTTTCCTCCTCCAACTTTTTCTTACTCTCAGACGTCCTATGCAGCAGCTTAGCGATGTTCTGTATGGCCGTTTTCGTTGGGGTTATTGCCATCTTCTCCACCATGCCGGCAAACAGTTGACCCTTGAGTTTCTCTTTCGCCGTCTCGAAGAGCACGCTCACTTCTTCATCGAACAGCAACTCCTCCGCAGAATTCGGCTTTGTTTTCTCGGCCGCTAAGGCCTTCGATAGCAGTGACACTATCTTGGGGCCGAGGGAACCCAACTGTCCCTCGAGCGCTGTGAGTAACCTCAGCAGACCAACTACTTCGAGATCCTCCGTCAACGTCTCCTCCGCGACTGGCAGGTTGGGCGATTTGTCCTTCACAGGGTACGGGGTCGCGTAATGTACCGGCCTAGTGTGGGTGGCCGTACGCGGGTAATAATGGCTGTACACGCCACCCCTACCGCGCGGATACGAGTACGCGTAATCGCGATCTCGGATCTCGTGACGGTCGTAATAGTCAGACTTGATGGTCTTGGTGCCGACGTATTCTACCTCGTCGTCGCTGTCTATGCGATGCCTGGGGCGCTTCGTCACGGGAGAACGCTCGCGTCTCGAAGTCCACTTCTCCGGCAGCTTATCCTCGGGCAACTCCAGACGCTTCCGAATCTCCTCTTTCCGTTGCTGCAGCTGCTCGTTGTGGATTTCGCGCATCCTCTTGTTCCAGAATTCTATCCACTCCGGCTTGAAGTCGTGCTTGCTCGGATCATTACCCTCGGCCTGCAGCTCTTTGTAGCGCCTGTTCCAGAATTTCTTCCACTCATCCGGATAGGACGGGTGCTTCTCGGGGTTCTTCTCGTGGAACTTGAGGGCGCGATCCAGCGTCTCCTCGGCACGCCTGATCTGTTCGCGATACTTGTCCCACTTGTCGCGCTCCCTCAGCGGCTGTAAAGAACGCGATCGCGACCGTGACCGCGTTCGCCCTCGTAGGCGCTCCCGCGAATGCCGATCGCGTAAGTGCCGGTCGCGCGAATGTCGCTCGCGTGAATGTCGAGACCCGCTGCGATACCTTCCGACGTTTCTCTCAACGGAGGTCCTTTTTCTACTGCGACTCGGCGAGCGGGATCTGGAACGGGACGGTGATGGGCTGCTGGAAATGCTGGAAAGCGACGACAGCGACTTGGTATCGTCTGATGGACGCTTCGGCGACTTCTTCTGGTTCTCTTCGGCCTTCGACGTGGGCTTGCGAAGGTTCATTTTGTCCTTGGTAAGTATGCGGATTTTGAAGCCCCTAAAAACAAAAGACTGTCTTCGACATCTGAAGATACATCCGACGACTTCCGTCTCCAAGAGAAATGGTGGAATAAAAATATCTCTCTTCGCAATAATTAGTAAATTAAGTAAGAATTAGTGAAAATTATCCTGCGGACTCGATGATTCAAATAAAAAAAAGACTTTTCAGAGATATATGATGTATTAAGATTTTTTTCTTTTTGTTATTTTCCTACCGATAATTTTAGACTTGTCTACTTACGATTTCGTAGTCTCTCCTTTAGATTCTACTTTTTTAGGTGACTTTTCCTTCTTATCTTCCTTTTTATACTTGTCATCGATCTTCCCATCGGCAGGCTGAGAATCTTCATAGAAACCGACAGTTAAAGAATTGCAATCGCAATGGCGTTCAGTCGTATTATGAGTCAATAAGGCAGATTTTACACTCACCTTTTTTTTTAACATTATTACCATTCTGCTCCGCCATTTTCTCATCAAAATTCGTCACCCATCTCACATCATAAACTTCCATAAATGTACTCTCCGGCGTTTCCCTGTATGCAGGAGAAACAGCCGCATTGGTCTTTACGATAACGTGAAGCGTACAACTAGGCGTATCATACCAGTGGTAACGTATTCGGTAACACATATCGTATCCGCATAATACCAAGGTCTCACGCCGAGGGCGCGAGTCAAAAGTGAAAAGTCGGATTCTCGCGCGCGCGGCGGCGCCAACTTTCATCGACGGATGCTCGAACTTACCTAAAGTGCAAGTCCTGATATACCCTCTTAATGTACTGCATCTTATTCTTCTCGAACTGTGCTTTGTCCACCAACTGCGGCTTCATTCTTCCGAACTTCTCTTCGATCTTCTTCGCCACTAACACCGATATCTCGTTGGCGCCGCGCTTATAATTCGTAGTGCGCGGCAGCTCCGTGATCGCTCGCGAGATCGTCGGGAAGTGTCGATTGAGATACGTGATGCGGTGATTATAACTGGTAATGTGAGCCATTACCGTACGCGGGTCGCCGCGCTTGTCACACAAAACACACGTGTAACTCGGCTCGCAGGAGTCATTGTCCACTAACTCGAGGAGGTACTCGAGGCCGACCAACGGCGAGCTTTGGTGCCGATCCAAACTCATCTGTATCGACGTACTGCGTGTGATCTGGTCCTCCGTGCCAGGTGGCACCGGCTCGCCGGGCGCCAGCGTGTCGCCGATCACGGTGGCCTGCACGGGCGTGACCGTTTTGCTCAACTCCGGCCGCTTGGACCACAGCAGCACCGGGTACGGCCATTCGTCCAGCTTCATTTTGTGACGATTGCACTGATTGTGACTTATCAACTTATGCGCGCCGTACAGGGCGACGTTACAGATATGACACCATATATCACCGTCTTCGGTTTCGGAGTATACGGGTCTGAGTGCACCATCTTCGGCGGTGACGCTGCATCGCATTATGCGCTTGCGTTCGTGCTCTTCCTATGAAACATAAACGATTAACGATTCGTAAGGCGGATGGTCTTCCGTTGACGAAGGCTTTGCCTCAAAGCTGCAATTACGTTCGCGCGAGCGCGTAAGTATATTCGCGGTGAGGCGCACTCGGCTACATTTTGTGATGTTCTTTTTCGTTCGGCCTTTCTTTTTTCCTCACGGAAGGAGAGTGGGATGGAAAATCGGTAAACCTCGCGCGTTACGGTCATGTTTGAAGACTTGTATTCACTTTCCAATTGTTCAATGCACAGACAAATAATACGCAGTGAACTCGATCGCTCTCCTGCACGCCACATCTTTCCTTTACCTTTTCCTTGTCCTCTTCCGACAAATGGGAAGGGCTACGTCCCTCGATATCGAGATCGTCAAAATTCTGCATGTTGTGGCCGTAAGCGGACGAAGTCTTCGTAATATTCTCTGGAAATATCGAAACTTTATGAGGCGGCGGAAAGGCAAAGACGTAGGCGACGGTTCGCATCAAGGTTGACTCAAAGCTGCGATTGCATCTCGCTTGTGTACAAGAGATCTAAAAGTGACACAAGTAATTTGAGTTCGGTGCATGTATGTATGTGACAATTATAAATATTATATCAGATCATACGTAATCCTGCAACAAACATCAGCTGATGAGTTACATCACGTATGCAGTATGTAATAAGTCAACCTTGGAGCGATGCTTCTCAGTAGACTAAATATTAAAATCGTCATTAATATATTAAGTATGGTCTATTTGTAAGTTATTTGTAAACAGATTATCCGTATTTACTTACCATTATTGTCATTTGCTGTATATGCTAACATTTAATTTGACCAACATCAATAACATTCGCTTTATATTCTGATGTAACACAACATCAGAATATATTCCTCATTGTTTAACTTTACTCACATTAAACGCCGAATATATAAATATTTTGTTATACTTAACTTTATTTAGGGAATAGAACGGAACCATAATTTTGTACTTGACACACATGTGGCACAGAGAGTAAAAGATATCAAAGAGAATCCAATGCTTTATAACAAGCCTCAACTTGTTTTTAAAGACCTTCCAATTCTATCACAATGGTACATTTGTATCAAACTACACAAGTGATCTTATTTGCATATTGTGTTTACAATTGTGTTTATAGATGACACATAATTTCTCAAACAATTCATATAGGTTATAAAGGTCATAATGCTCTACACACAAGATGAAATGAAAGAATAATACAGTATTTATTTTGATATTTACGCTGACAGCCATTTACTACCCTGCTGGAGTGCAGAAAATGCTTCTCCAGCTACTTACCAATCGGAAGGATCATAAACTCAGAGAACCTCACCAAAATGTTCCACTAACAGAAACCACAAGTACCACAAAAACTGGACAGATTTCCAATGGAACACAAACAGGGCAAAGTTAAGACCTGCCTAACTTTGCCAAATCAACATCGACTAGAGATTGCCGATCGGCAATTGACGAGAAAGATACTCGGTCAATATGTTGTCAATCGCTCTCTCTCCTTCTCTCTCTCTCTCACTCTCTCTTTCTCTCTTCCCTCTTCTCTTGATATATTCGCGCCTCACAGAACACAGCACGTTTCACGGCAAGGCTGAAGGTACATTTTTAGCTTGTCCCAAATACACGGACCGGATCACTTCTTATTATCGAAAATAATCGTCCGATTGAACGGGCACGAAAATAAAAGGACATGAACGCTTCGTGCCGTTCGCGCATCGTTCATACAGACGTGACGCGCGACACAACACGGAAACCGATCTACAACGGCACATGAGAATCGTTTCTCGGGAAACCGGATACATAGCCGTGTGGTTAAAAGACATCGCCTCGATACTTTGTATACCTCGTTGCCGACGCTGACTCCGTCGTTGTTCAATTTCATCGTAGCGCTCGCGAGTGAATGAGGTTGACTTACCCTGAGCGTTGAGAATTCAAGGTCACTTGTTGGAGCTTTCGTGTCGTAATCCGACGATTTTTCAGTTTCGCTTACGGGAAAACCTCGTAGCCATCGTAGCCATGACGTGAGCAAGACATTCTCATGTACGTTCATTGGCAACTAACTTAAATAGAGGTCTATTCCTTATAATGTATTATATTGTACTTTCTGCACTTAAAATGAATTAGGTGTAAGGCCCGGGTAGAAATAAACCTGTTCGTTTTATCTGCACTGCTGAACTGGTGCAACAAGTTGAAGTGAGAAAACCTACGTTTGTCTCACTTTAACTTAATGCACCAGTTCAGCAATGCAGACAAAACGAATAGGCCTTGCAGACAAAGGGTGCGTTCCGTCTCACGCATATGCGCGCATTTTTTATAGTATACGTGACATAACTATAGATAAATACAAAACGAACAGGCCTATTCCCTGCCAGCACTAAAAGGGTGCTTACGATAACAAGAGTGGAGCGAGTGAGATCTGGATCTGGAGAGAGCAGTACACACTTCCATCTACAACTATTAAACATGGTCTACAATGGCAGTAAGCAGTAAGAAGTAAGCGTAAGCGGTAAGAAATAAACCAATCACAGTCGATTATGACAAAAATAATCAACTGTGGTTGGTCCATTTCTTACTGTTCATGCTTTCTTCTTACTTGCGACCATTGTAGACCACGCTTTATATTTCATGGCTGCTCCTAATCCTACTCTCTTGCTATCTCATAGTGACAGGAGCGAGCAGCAGCCGATCGTCTTGTGTGTATACATAACAGAAAGCTAATGTATGCCATATTTTATTTCTTATTGAAAGAGTTGGGCCAGAGCACAGACTTCTGCATAACGCATAAGAAAATCAACCAATCAGAGTTCTTCATTTCTGTCCTAAGGAGGGAAATGAAGAAAACTAATTGGTTTATTCTCTTATGTGTTATGTGTTATGCAAAAACCTGTGTTCTTGCCTTTACACATTTTTCCGAAAAGTAGAGGGCATAACGTTAACACCAGTGAACTATATACTATATTGGAACGAGAACGGCCCTCTTGAGAAAACCGGCCACCAAAAAAAAAGAGATAGGTTGATTTGGTACCATATATGTAATACTACTATATTGCTATCGAGACGAAGAGGAGTGAAGCCAACATCACGGTGCAGACATATATCATCTTCTCGCTTCATCTTTCAAATGCGTACTTCGGCGCAAATACGCATGCGCGTGTTTTATGGAGTCGCATAACCTCATCAGATATACAAGTTGTTACGTTTCTAAAAGTGATAAGAAGAGGAAAAATGCGCTCATGCTATTTATGTGGGAGAAAAGCTTCACGGGAAGAAAATATTTCTTTACATAAGTAATTATATTGACAAATAATGAGTTAAAATATATATGACTTACAATAATTAATAACAAATTATATAAATTATATGTTTCAGATTTCCTAATAAACAAGACATACGTAAAAAATGAAAGGAAGCATGCCATTTACATGACACAGATGATGTATCCCATTTGTACATTTGCTCAACTCATTTCAGATTGCCGCAAAATGTAATTAGACAGAAAAAATGGAGACTACCTCTTGAAAGTATACCCAATGCAGGTATTACTAGTAAATGTTGCAGCTATTGCAAAAAGAACTATACAATATCATTCAATAAGTAAAATATTTATATCAGCAGGAGAAAATATATCTAAGGAACCTGCGATATTTCAAACAGAAATAGATTCAAAGGTATATACAAAAATAATGGATGCTGCAACGACGGATGCCACAATAGATTCAGCAACAATGAGTGCTACGACAGATGTTGCAACAACATATTCTACAACAATAAATCCTGCATCGAGTGTTGCAACAATGGATCCCGCAGTAATAGATTCAGGTATATGTAAAATGCAATCAATATTGGAAGCTTCTACTTCTTATTTATGTAAGTTAAATATGAAATATATATACAGAAATAATATAAAATACTTATACATATTACAATAAGAAATAATTTATATATATATATAAATGCCACTTTTGTTATAATAAATACTATCTATTTTTAGATTCTGAAAAAAGTACTGTCACTCTTCCAAAGAAACGCTTTTTCGCAGAGCCTCGATATATCTCGGAAATTACTGTTACTGATGTAAATACAGAAGAAAAAGCTAAAAAGGTTATCACGTTTATAAAACAGGAATATGAAAAGAAATGCAAAGAAATGAAGACTTTACAACAAAAAAATAGAAGATTGAAAAAGCTAATTGTTTCATTGCAAGAATTAGTAGCACACTTAAAAGAATCGAAATTACTCTCTGAAGATGCTGCAGACAATTTCATGGTATGTTCATAAATAGTAATATTGCTCGTAGTGCGTCATACACAGTTGTATATACACAAATTATGGAATATTATATAATATATTGCGACATTTTTCATACAGTAATGAAGATAGATATATATTATGTACAATAACTTTATTTAAAAGGAAATATTTGTATTTTATGTTTCATTTAGAATATGTTACCAGAGAATGTAAAAGCGATAATGTCGCGAAAGTTGAAAACATACGGTAGTTACTCTCCTGAAATTCGTAGTTTTGCACTAACACTTCACTTCTATTCTCCTAAAGCATATACATATGTAAGAAAAATATGGAATATGGAAAATATGGAAAAATATGGAACAATTTACTACCAGGTCCTTCCACATTGCGAAATTAGTATCGTGTAGTCGATGGATCTCCAGGTTTTACAAAAGAAGCATTAGATGCCATTTTAAAGCGTAGTAATAATTCTAAACCTCTTATTATTAACCTAGTTATAGATGAAATGGCACTAAGGGAACAAATTATTTTCGATAAAAAACGATTTTATGGCGGTATCGATTTTGGCACTTTGGAAAATGAAGATTACGATAATGACTCTATTCCTACAGCAAAAAATGCTTTAGTATTTATGGCAGTATCGTTAAATGATAATTGGAAAGTCCCAATAGGATATTTTTTAATTAGAACATTAAATGGCACAGAACGGTCGAATCTCTTAATACATGCATTTCAGCAATTACATCAAATAAACTGTAAAATTTTTTCCATTACTTTTGATGATGCTCCAAGTAATATTAGTATGTGCACTGCTCTGGGTGCAAATTTTACATATGAAAATAATTTTAAGCCATATTTTATAAATCCAGTTACATCGGAGAAATGTTATGTGTTCTTTGATTTTTGTCATATGATAAAATTAGTAAGAAATACTTTGGGTGACAAAAAAATTTTACAAACATCTAGTGGTGACATAATTGAATGGAGTCATATAGTAAACCTGCATGAATTACAACAAAAAGAAGGTTTAAACATTGCAAATAAACTCACGAATAAACATATTAATTTTCAAAATAATAGAATGAATGTAAAATTGGCAAGCCAAACATTAAGTGCAAGCGTATACAATGCACTAATGTTCTTATCAATGTCAGATTCCACACATCGATTTGTTAATTGCAAAGCAACTGCTGAATTTTGTTTGAATTTTAACAACATGGGTGATATGTTGAATTGTAAAAATAAATTTTCACGTCAGGAATTTAATACAGCATTAACTTCTGAAAATTATGTACAACTACAAGCACATGCTAAAAATTTTGAAGCATATATTAATACATTACAGGATGAAAAGGGCACTCCTATTTTAAAAACTAATAGGAAAACTGGTTTTCTTGGATGAATTATATGTTTAACAAATATGTTTCCTCTATTTGATTATTTAAAATCTTTGGGGATGACATATTTATTAACATATAAACTGTCTCAAGACTTTCTTGAAACATTTTTTAGTGCAATACGAAGTCGCGGAGGATTCAATAATAATCCACATGTTTTGCAATTCAAAAGTGCTTATAAACGCCTATTGATCAGACATGAATTAAAAGAGTTTGATAATGGTAATTGTCTGTCTGATAGCTTAGACATTCTTCATGTAACGTCGAATCTAAAACAATTCAAATATCCAATAGCAGATGAAGAAACATATTATTTTGATAACCAATTACTCACTTTTGATCACGATTATATTAAAACATGTTGGGAGCTCACACCATATGTAGATAACATTGTTCAATATATAGCAGGATATATTTCTAATAAACTATATAACACTATACATTGTATAGTTGTATATTTGTAAAAATCAATTATTAGGTAATACATTGCCTTGGTTATTACAGCTCAAAAATAGAGGACCATATTTAAAACCATCAGATGATGTATGTAGGATTTATAAAATAGCAGAATCAACTATCCGACAGTATACAAATAAATTGCAAACAAAGATGATACAACAATTATTAATGAATATTATATACCGTAAATTATCATTTTCATTTTCCAATGATACCATGCAAAACCATATATTATCTCAGGATATATTAGATAATCATAAAACGCAATTATGTAAGCGTATAATATCATTATATATAAACATAAGACTGTTCCATGAAGCCAAAACCATGTCTTCTAATACTCATTATATTCGCCAAAAATATACAAAACTTATATTATTTCACAATCAATAGCATCTCCTATGTATATAAAATGTTGCATTTTGATATTAAACAAAACTATTCGTAAAAATACTATTGTGTTTTTATTTCTATGTGTTCATACATATTATTAACAAATGAATACATTTGATATGTAATCATATAATAAACAATCAATGCTGCAATATTGGATAGTAGAATTATTGTATTTGCATTTTTTCAATATTAGTGTTTGCATACATTTTTTTCTATTCTATTTGTTTTTATGAATATTTAATTAACATATATTTGTACCAATAGTTGTAAAAGTAGCTCTACTCTACTAATTTGTAAATTTTTATTTAATATTTATTTTTAATACAGTCGCATGTTATACGATGAGAATATCCGAAAATAATATTATATAATTTCGGTTATTTTTATACCCACACTGATTTTATACACACTGCATTAGAAATTGTAATAACCATCGACATATATTTCGAATCCCACTTTCAGTTTTTTTAAGTTATTTTCTTATTTCATTTAATATTATTTCAATTTTCATCTTATTCTTACATATTTTTATTTTAACCTCTACTACGTATATTAACGCATGCGCATAACGTTCAAAGTACATGATCGCCTATATCTATCGTATCGTTTGTCTCACTTTCTTGGCATCACTACCGCTTATGGGAGAGATGCGTAAATAGCAATATAGTAGTATTACATATATGTTTGGTACCATCTCTATCTCTGTCTAGCGAATTTTGATTGGTCTGTGGTTTTCTATGTTCTTTTCTACAAACATCAGTTCTACTAACCTTTTTGACTCAACAGACTAGTCAATAGCTGTCAAGTGTCACAACTTCTTATTAATCATAATATAATCAGAATTATTTTATTATCAAATGTGATATATAAAAATGTTGTATTTTATGTAGTCGCACAAAAAAAATGTTTTTGTGTTTTCATTCTCGTTAATGAAAAATATTATAAGATATGTATATTAATGCTGCATTTTAATAAATAAAATTAATTAGGCAATGTTTTGTTCATTTATTGCCCTATATGTGTATTATTTCATATGTATAAAAAATAATAGAAAATAGACATTGTATAGAGTGCGTTAAGTATTTGCATGGCTTGATATAGATAAAATGCTTTAGCAATCAACAAAATAAAATCGTATTGTACTTAAAACTTTTATTTGGAAAATGCTACAAATTAAAATTAAAAAAACACAGTAACTATACATATATCTCATTAATTTTCTTTAAAGACAACAATAACAAGTGTATCAGTATTAGATGAACAGAAATATATTTTATAGTAATATATTTTTTATTTTCAGTATATGCTAGCAAAATTATAAACAGTTATCTAGGACTTTAATCCTTTGAAGTAAATTGTTGGAAATAACAATTTTCAACATTGGGGAGACAAAGTTATATAAATATACTCATACATATAAAAATACTTTTATAATAAAACATAAATTTTTTCCAACATAATAATGAAATATAATAATGAAACATTAATAATGAAACATATATAAATATTGTAAGGAACAAAAAAAAATATATATGGAGCATATAAAGAACAATATCTTGAAAAAGAATATCACATTCGCAACTTAAATAAAACGTACATCTGAACTCGTTTTAGCTAAATCTATAATCTATAATCGAATTAAAATTATTATTATTAAGTAATATAATAATAATAAATAATAATATACGTTTCAGATTTTATAAATTTAGTTCTAAATCAAATTATAAATTTGGAATTAAATCTATAATGTAAAACATGTATTATTATCTTCAAGTTCAGTCTTTGCTTTAAGAGATTGCACACAAAATAACGAATATCATAAAGAATTAGAAAAGCTATGCCAAACAAACAATATATTATATTATAAAATATATTATAAAATAATTCAATGTTTTAATATTATTTATATATCTCGAGAGCTTTTAGTTGTAATAATTAAATTATCGAATGTGGTAAAATAAAATTGTTTTATGAAGTTTACTCCGTTTAGTCACTAATTTACCCAAAATACTTTCCGTTACAGTTTTATTAAACGTAGATATGCGAATAAAAATATATGAAGATGTTATAGCTTTAATTAATTGTATTTTGTGTAATTCCTCAATTCCAGCAGTATCTGTTACAGGATGTTGTGGTTTGAATAAAGACATAGCTATTGGAATATAATGTTGTATAGTAACTCGAATAATATTGGCTTGGAAATGGTTTGCATTCATAGGTAGCACATTTAATTTAGCTTTAAAGGCTTTCTCAACAAATAATATAATATTATAAACTATTGCAGATGGTACATATAATTGACCATGATTAATAAATTTCATAAAAGAGGATTCTGAATATATTTCAGAACAATAATTATGTTCGTAAGTAACATTACTTATGTTAGTTAAAATTTGAATACAATCATCATATTTTATTTGTTTAACAAGGCCGTTAACAATATAACCGGATATATAATATAGAATATTTTGCTGAATAAATGATATATTAATATTTTCCATTGCTTTAATTATATTTGTTATATACTTAAAATCAATGCAATCAAAAGCTTCAGATGTTTCTTTAGTTTTACTTTTATATTTAAAAATGGCAGGCATCACAGTATTATCACCAATACAATTTGCACTAACACTACTTTTAATACTATTTAAAAATAAAAGTTTTCGTACAGTCGATATGAATTGTAAGCAGTCAGGATTATTATTCCAACCTCCTCTAGCTCTTACGCAAGAAAAGAAAAGCTCTAAATGATCCTGCGAACATTTGTATGGTAAAAAGAAACGTAATGGATTAATTTTAGAAAATAAATCCTTAGCTAAATTGATTATACTATACATATTTATTATGAAACCTATTGCAAATGTAGACTTTCGATGATAAAAAATAGGAGTTCCGTTTATTACTAATTTCGAAATATAAAGAATATTACTGTTAAAAGTATTTATAAAATAATTAAAATTTTTTTGTATCATGGGTGATTTAAAATTTCTTCCAAAATGACTTCTAGCATTTACAATGTCAAATAGTTTGTCAAAGATTCTTAAAAATTCTGTTGTAGCTTCACTGTTTTCAAATCCTGGAGTTTGTATTTTCTTTAAATAATCAATGGCATCAGCAACACTACTGCTTATTGTTTGACATGCAAATGAAACATTCATTTTTTTATTGAAATAATGCATATGTGCATTACTTAATTTGTTTGCTAATTTTAAACCTTGTTCTTGAATATCATGTAACTTCTTAACATATGCAAAAGAGATTTCCTGATTCTCGTATGTAATTTTGCATTCAATAAAAGTGTTACAACACAATTTTATCATATGTGAAGGATCTAATATACTGTAAATATATGAATCATATAGAGGATGTTGGAATGCTGTTTTTATATAAAACAGATGTTGGCCGGTTTCAAATAAGACGTATCTTGTACATTTAAATTTATATTTTCTTTCGAAGCTTCTTGGTGAAAACATTTTTTTATATTTGATTTATATTCTTTGGGATGTATAATGCATGGAATGTTCAAAGAATCCATATTTATCAAATTATTCAAATTAAAATTACAGCCTAACAATTGTAACGTTTTTAAATTGCTTTTTGCACCATCACACGTAATTGAACGAACAGTGATGCTACCTATCTCTGCTAGTTTAACTATAGCTTGCTGCATAATTTCACTTTGTACAACTGAGGGCATTTTATTTGTAAAAAAAATGCAATTGAACACTTAAATTTCACCGTAAAAGAAATGATTAATAATACCAACACTTCGGTAGATATTTCTTCCGAATCTTCTATAAGAATACTTCCATAATCTACATACCCACGCATCTTATCTATTGTTTTATCATATATTATTCTTTTTCTAATACTCATAGAATCAAATATTAATGAAACATCTGATAAATAATTTTTTGTATACGCTTCATTTTTCAAATATATAAACACTTCAGTAAGAAAACCAGGTTGGATGTTTGTATTACTTAGCATTCCATTGTGCTATGTGGAGATTACTGGAAGAAGATAAGTTACAGTTATATATAGGATGTTTATATTTATTCATTGCTTAAGAGAGAAGAGGTGGTGGAAGAGGTATCTACCTTTTCCTGATTACCAAGAAATACAATGAAATCTGTTAGATTGGAATGTGAAATACACTTAGTATAAAAACTGACAAAAACACTATCAGAGAAAGTAAGCGGCTCAGTTGATTCCTGAGAATGCCTCTTTTTAACGAAAAAACCCCTAACCAACAAGTAGAAAGGGTTGTCCGTATCATTTGCATAATCGGCAAGTAAACTTGTGGCTTTTTCAAATGATATATTCTTTAACCGGCCGGCCAGTTCCGCCATCGTACGCGGCGCAGCCATAGCTTCAGGAACAACCGAAGGCACCGAGGGGGGAGGATCCATCAACCCAACCCCCGCACCGAAAGTAACCAAAGGAACGAGCAGAACCCCCAGCCCCAGGACCCTCCGGGCCCAATTCGGCCAGCGAAACCTTTTTAATATTTCTATAATTATCGATAAGAATGTCACTTATGATCTTAGGACCCTCTTGCCTTTCCAATGAAAGCTTTCCTGAGGACTCCTTAACCACGGTAGAACCAGTGATGTTAAGAGCAGGATCCACGGTCCCGTGCGTGTCCGCTCTTTTTGGAGAAGACAAACGAAGAAATTCGTTTTCTCCAGACAAAAGATCCTTATGAATTTTTATAGCAGAGACTCTATTTTTTGCCTTGGAAATAGGGCCACTAGTGATGAGGTTGCGAGCCTTCTTTGTGGCCAACAGAGAATCCTCTCTAGGATGAGACTTGTTTTCCGGAACCCTGTAAATAAGGGAATTATTAGCAACTTCCAACTCAGTATTATGAGAAGAAATCTTTGCTTTAACCTTATCTTTATCCTTAAATTTCGTATTCTTTTGGACCACATTGGCATATGATCTTCTAATAATAAAGTCATCAAGAGTTGGGAGAGGTAAAGAACCCCCCCCCCAATATATTCATTACCTAAAGGGATAGGTCCCTTATCTCTCAGGAACATGTCCGCCTCCCCAGGGGAGAGACAAAAGGTGGCCATGATTTTTTTTAATTTTTGTTCCAAGAATACGGGACATTTGACATCTGATGCTTTATGCATCAAGTCTTTATCCTCCCGTTTCAATCGGAGACAATTGATGCATTTAATTTTCTTAGAAGAACATTCATCGTCTGAATGTCCAGAGCCCGTGCATCTCGCGCAAGTTATCGGGGACCGACGTCCTCTGCAAACCCTGATGGAATGCCCAAATCGTTGACAATGAAGGCACCTAATGACCCTCTGAATAAAAGGAATCATATAAATTCTTTTACCAATTAAAAGAGAATAATTCGGTAATGTTATATTAGGGAAGACTGCCACAATGGTATTTGTGTCGACATATTTGACACCTCCCTGAGCCGGGGGGTCAGCAACCTTCTTTCTCAAAGCATAAACATTCAGAGGTTGTGCCCAATTATCTCTCCATCCTGGAGGAGGACTCAGGAGCTCCATTATATTATTATAACCAAAATCCATATCATCGATGCCTTTTAAGATGACCTTTTTTGTTACCTTATAATCTGGCACAAAAGCTACCCAAGTTTCCCCTTTAAAAAGAGGTTCTTTTTTTCTTTCAAAAGAGTTAACTAATTCATTTGCCAAATCAAATGTAGGCAAAGCGATATAAAATCTATTTTTCCCCGATTTTCTGAAATTATTTGCTACATTAAGGATATGTCTTAAATTATAAACATTAATTAGAACTCTACCTAATTTCAAGACTCCAATCTCCTCAGAATCACAAGAGTCTTTTGAGTCAATGACAAGTTTTTCTATAAGAACAACAAACGGACCTTGACTAGACCTATCATAACGGTTTTTAACATGCCAGCAACGACCGGAAAATCACGTATAATGTCAATACCTGCACTGACACCACCAACCTCCGACCCCATGACGGAGTCATTACATCCCTTGTCGACAGAAGGCACAGAAGTAGAAGCAGCAGCAGCAGCAGGACCTTCATTGACCTTACGGATATTAGCTGAATTGTCCTTATCAGGAGTAAGCCGTCGGCCTTCAATGCTCTCAGAGGGCATCAGAGACTCTGAGAAACTCTTAGATTTCAAAAATCGTTTGTATAGCTTGTTTGTTATTGAAAAGGTCGACGAATCCAAGCACTGATCACGCATGTCCTCGCCACGCATCACGTGGTCCAGCTCTTTCTTTATATCGCCTGGACAAAGAGCCCTTTGTTTTTCAGGCACATCAGCAGACTTGATTCTCATACTATTCCTATTGCACAACGCATTTGCGTCAGACAAACTCCCCCCTCTGAACTAACATCAGGAGTAACGTCCATCGAATCGATCTCCATCTCGACAGATAAATCACTTGTATACGAGTGATCACGTGTACACCACGTGTCACCAAAACAATCAACCTAATAAACGAACAAAAGCCTTCAATACGAAAGCCCAGAAAAAGAAAAACTTAAATCAAATTAGAACTCGCGATAAACAAAAACAAAAAACCAATCGAAAAACCAAATTAGAAAGCCAATAGCACCAAAAGAAAATATGCGATAACACGACCGTCCAAAAACAGGTATAACCCGTACCGTAGTCGCATCGAGACTCCGGTTTTCGTTGGTGGTAACCAGTGAAATATACAGGGCGAAACAACCTTCCATTATTAATCAAAACAAACTTCCATTATTAAAAGTATAAAATCCTGGTAAAATTCTAAAACAACTTTTTCTCTTGCAAAATTTTGGCAAAAGCTTAGATTTTAAATTATTAACAAAAATAGTAGACCTATTGCGGGTCGGGTATCGGAGGTAGACAGATGCGGCGCAACTCACCGTCAGACGTGGGCGCTAACGCGCAGTACCCGCAGCAATCAGCTGATCACACTACACATGTTATACACTAGCTGCGTTCCAATATTCATTGCCAGCATAAAAATCTGTATTTTCTGCGACGTTAGGTGATTGTTATAACTGGCAAAAATTTTGGAAAACAGCCAGGATTGTACGCGCACACATATGCAAGCACGTTCTCGATCTCTCCGAGTCTTTCTGTCTCTTTCTCACTCATCACTCGTATTTATTGCACGACCAATGCGAAGCGGCAGTCGTGCGTGGTGGGGGATGGACCAATGGACATCCCGCGACGATCGTATAAATGCGTTGAAACAATCGATGCGTTAATCAATAATCCTGTGATTATTGGAAGCGTTAACGTCAAGACGATATGGCAGCATACACGAACGAAGAATATTATGACATGCTATTGACACTCGGAGCCTGTCACGGCCAGGTCGCCGCTGCTGCTCGAAGATACGCCGAGCTGTACCCCAACCGAGCAAGACATCCGTCGCACCACGTTACAGATACAAAATACAGATTTTTATGCTGGCAATGAATATTGGAACGTAGCTAGTGTATAACATGTGTAGTGTGATCAGCTGATTGCTGCGGGTACTGCGCGTTAGCGCCCACGTCTGACGGTGAGTTGCGCCGCATCTGTCTACCTCCGATACCCGACCCGCAATAGGTCTACTATTTTTGTTAATAATTTAAAATCTAAGCTTTTGCCAAAATTTTGCAAGAGAAAAAGTTGTTTTAGAATTTTACCAGGATTTTATACTTTTAATAATGGAAGTTTGTTTTGATTAATAATGGAAGGTTGTTTCGCCCTGTATATTTCACTGGTTACCACCAACGAAAACCGGAGTCTCGATGCGACTACGGTACGGGTTATACCTGTTTTTGGACGGTCGTGTTATCGCATATTTTCTTTTGGTGCTATTGGCTTTCTAATTTGGTTTTTCGATTGGTTTTTTGTTTTTGTTTATCGCGAGTTCTAATTTGATTTAAGTTTTTCTTTTTCTGGGCTTTCGTATTGAAGGCTTTTGTTCGTTTATTAGGTTGATTGTTTTGGTGACACGTGGTGTACACGTGATCACTCGTATACAAGTGATTTATCTGTCGAGATGGAGATCGATTCGATGGACGTTACTCCTGATGTTAGTTCAGAGGGGGGAGTTTGTCTGACGCAAATGCGTTGTGCAATAGGAATAGTATGAGAATCAAGTCTGCTGATGTGCCTGAAAAACAAAGGGCTCTTTGTCCAGGCGATATAAAGAAAGAGCTGGACCACGTGATGCGTGGCGAGGACATGCGTGATCAGTGCTTGGATTCGTCGACCTTTTCAATAACAAACAAGCTATACAAACGATTTTTGAAATCTAAGAGTTTCTCAGAGTCTCTGATGCCCTCTGAGAGCATTGAAGGCCGACGGCTTACTCCTGATAAGGACAATTCAGCTAATATCCGTAAGGTCAATGAAGGTCCTGCTGCTGCTGCTGCTTCTACTTCTGTGCCTTCTGTCGACAAGGGATGTAATGACTCCGTCATGGGGTCGGAGGTTGGTGGTGTCAGTGCAGGTATTGACATTATACGTGATTTTCCGGTCGTTGCTGGCATGTTAAAAACCGTTATGATAGGTCTAGTCAAGGTCCGTTTGTTGTTCTTATAGAAAAACTTGTCATTGACTCAAAAGACTCTTGTGATTCTGAGGAGATTGGAGTCTTGAAATTAGGTAGAGTTCTAATTAATGTTTATAATTTAAGACATATCCTTAATGTAGCAAATAATTTCAGAAAATCGGGGAAAAATAGATTTTATATCGCTTTGCCTACATTTGATTTGGCAAATGAATTAGTTAACTCTTTTGAAAGAAAAAAAGAACCTCTTTTTAAAGGGGAAACTTGGGTAGCTTTTGTGCCAGATTATAAGGTAACAAAAAAGGTCATCTTAAAAGGCATCGATGATATGGATTTTGGTTATAATAATATAATGGAGCTCCTGAGTCCTCCTCCAGGATGGAGAGATAATTGGGCACAACCTCTGAATGTTTATGCTTTGAGAAAGAAGGTTGCTGACCCCCCGGCTCAGGGAGGTGTCAAATATGTCGACACAAATACCATTGTGGCAGTCTTCCCTAATATAACATTACCGAATTATTCTCTTTTAATTGGTAAAAGAATTTATATGATTCCTTTTATTCAGAGGGTCATTAGGTGCCTTCATTGTCAACGATTTGGGCATTCCATCAGGGTTTGCAGAGGACGTCGGTCCCCGATAACTTGCGCGAGATGCACGGGCTCTGGACATTCAGACGATGAATGTTCTTCTAAGAAAATTAAATGCATCAATTGTCTCCGATTGAAACGGGAGGATAAAGACTTGATGCATAAAGCATCAGATGTCAAATGTCCCGTATTCTTGGAACAAAAATTAAAAAAAATCATGGCCACCTTTTGTCTCTCCCCTGGGGAGGCGGACATGTTCCTGAGAGATAAGGGACCTATCCCTTTAGGTAATGAATATATTGGGGGGGGGGTTCTTTACCTCTCCCAACTCTTGATGACTTTATTATTAGAAGATCATATGCCAATGTGGTCCAAAAGAATACGAAATTTAAGGATAAAGATAAGGTTAAAGCAAAGATTTCTTCTCATAATACTGAGTTGGAAGTTGCTAATAATTCCCTTATTTACAGGGTTCCGGAAAACAAGTCTCATCCTAGAGAGGATTCTCTGTTGGCCACAAAGAAGGCTCGCAACCTCATCACTAGTGGCCCTATTTCCAAGGCAAAAAATAGAGTCTCTGCTATAAAAATTCATAAGGATCTTTTGTCTGGAGAAAACGAATTTCTTCGTTTGTCTTCTCCAAAAAGAGCGGACACGCACGGGACCGTGGATCCTGCTCTTAACATCACTGGTTCTACCGTGGTTAAGGAGTCCTCAGGAAAGCTTTCATTGGAAAGGCAAGAGGGTCCTAAGATCATAAGTGACATTCTTATCGATAATTATAGAAATATTAAAAAGGTTTCGCTGGCCGAATTGGGCCCGGAGGGTCCTGGGGCTGGGGGTTCTGCTCGTTCCTTTGGTTACTTTCGGTGCGGGGGTTGGGTTGATGGATCCTCCCCCCTCGGTGCCTTCGGTTGTTCCTGAAGCTATGGCTGCGCCGCGTACGATGGCGGAACTGGCCGGCCGGTTAAAGAATATATCATTTGAAAAAGCCACAAGTTTACTTGCCGATTATGCAAATGATACGGACAACCCTTTCTACTTGTTGGTTAGGGGTTTTTTCGTTAAAAAGAGGCATTCTCAGGAATCAACTGAGCCGCTTACTTTCTCTGATAGTGTTTTTGTCAGTTTTTATACTAAGTGTATTTCACATTCCAATCTAACAGATTTCATTGTATTTCTTGGTAATCAGGAAAAGGTAGATACCTCTTCCACCACCTCTTCTCTCTTAAGCAATGAATAAATATAAACATCCTATATATAACTGTAACTTATCTTCTTTCAGTAATCTCCACATAGCACAATGGAATGTGAATTCTGTCAGATCAAGATACGCGGACATTTGTTATGTCCTTGACAATTTAAAGATGGTCATTATGTGCTTAGTTGAAATAAAGATCTCTGACGATGTTCCATGCAGATTCAATAATTATAAATTCATAAGAAAGGACCGCTCTAATCATGGCGATGGTCTTGGATTCTTGATTCAGAACAACATTAACTTTAAACATACATCCTTCCCCGACGTGGAAAAAATGTGTGAGGACCATGGGTTTGAGATCCTTTTTGTTTGCATTAAAGGCAGCCTTAAAGGTAAGAATTTGTTTTTAATTGGATTATATAATCCCCCAGGCGTCAGACTAGATTCGACTGCGTCTGTGTGTAAGGACGTTATTTTCTGGGTCAAACTGTTTGACTTCTGCAATTCTCTTGGAGATTTTATTTTGATGGGCGATTTCAATGCTCACAGTTGTCTGTGGGATGGTGTTAATAGTAAGGTTGATAGAGAAGGAACTTCTCTTGAATTAGCTATTGAATCTTCTAATCTGCTTTGTCTTAATGACGGGAAATTCACTTGGGCTTCATCGGACTTATCGACCCATAGTGTTATCGATTTGACTTTGGTCTCCTCGAGTTTTGCCACTAATGTGGTTGTCAACACTTCCGATGACAGATATGGCAGTGATCATTTTATTATTGAGATAAAGGTAAACTGTTTTAATACTAGTTTTCTCCCATGTAGACCTTCTTTATCTTTGGCTGATCTTGATGAGACTGGCTTCTGATCTTGCCTTGTGGATCGCTTCAAGGATTTTCCGGCTCATGTCGGTGCGATCAATGAGGTTTACAATAATGCTTTAGAATCGATCAAAGATTCTTTGATTTCAAATGGTGCATATAAAAAGACTTGTAATAAGGTTCGATGTGGTCAACCCGCAGTTTGATGGAATGAGAAATGCGAAGAGCTTGTTAATGACAAGAGACGTGCGTTTAGAAGATTTTGTAATAACCCTTCTTTAGATAATTTTAACGCTTTTGAAGATACCTCCAAAAGGGTTAAGAAGGAGTTACGTGCAATTAAATCTTTATCTTTTAGAGATTTTTGTGGGAGCCTGGACTCTCAAACTGTGG